GTCCAATATTGCCAGATTTTGGTTGCTAATGTAACGTAACTAGAAATGTGAACATCAAACGGAACTATTGACGCTAAATCTACTGAAAAGTTTTGAGGGAACACTGTTATTGTCAAAAATTTTAATACATTAAAATTATTTATTTTGATAAAAAAAAATGTTTATAATATTGTTTTGGTGTTCTACGAGTATAAAAGCGTAGAAAAAAATATAGTGTCCAACTCTACTGACCCCCTTTCCGCTATCGCTGTGTGTCAGCTGTGTTTTCACTGTCACTATTAACGCTTAATTCCGCTTAATTCCGTTTACCCTCCACCCCTATATATCCCGTGGTACCCATAGGTCAAAACCTTTTTTTAAGGAGAGGCCTATGTCCAACAGTGGACTGTTAAAGGCTGTTGATCTATATTACGAGTGAAATACTGTTGTGTCGTGCTTCAGGAATGATTACTTCCGAAGTAACATCGTTGGGTATTGTAAAGGGCTATGGTCTCTGCTCACTTATCTCAAGTGTCGCTACTATTTCTCTTGTGTCAGAACACCCTAGGGTGGTCATCTCTCAAAGTCCAAACCATAGTGTAGTGTTCAGATCTTTTGCCGGGGTCTCAATTGTACCTTGAAAGGAGATCCTTATGAATTACTAATGCATTACTAGTTATAACCTTAATAGTAAAATGATATTAACTCTAAACATACCTATTAAATACAACGAGGCCACATTACGGAAGTAATATACAGATGTATTGACATCCACTACTTGTAAACGACTACTATGTGTTAATTAATTGGCCGTGTTTATATTGTATAATAGCCGCTGTCATATATACATAGGTGTGGCTCGTTAAATAAATAGTCATCGCTATATTTAATAGTAACTTTCTGCCTTAACAAAATCTTACTAAAATTGCATTTACATCATAAAGAATTGACTATGAATTCATCATCTGCCTACCCTTTTCCCAATTTTATTTGGGGTCGGCGCAGTATGTATGATTTTTCCATTCTACTCTGTCATGCGCCATCTCACTGTTTACTCCCTTCCTAGCCATATCCTTACACCCGATATAGATAGATAGATAATTTTCATAATCAGGTGATTATTGATAGAGTTCTGATGATGTAACAAACACAAGAATAATACAACCGAGTTGACAACTTGCTCCTTTTTTGGTTAAAAATACCCTATTACAAAAAAGTAAACAACACGCAAACCTAAACAGACAGAAAATTAATTAACTAAAAATAATTTAATTGAAACAGGCGGTAAAATACATTCCAATTTTACATTTTAAAATTCATGAATTATAAAGACGCCATGTTGCTTATTCAACCAATAAGTAAACACTGGCGATATGCTTTGTAAAAGCGTTAATATTTGCTATTTAAAATGAGTTACTATCTTTACAGTGGTGATGGACACAGAACAATGTTTTACATCGATGTTGTAACGTTCCGTTAATTGGAAAAACAAAGAGCAACAATTATTTTTCGCCTTAACTATCTTATTAACGTGGAGACTTACGGTCCACAAGTTCAAAATCGCTCAACGTGCTATGGCAAGGGCTATGCTCGGCGTTTCTCTAAGGGATCGTATCAGAAATGAGCTGATCCGGCAAAGAACCAAGGAAACCGACATAGCCTACCGGATTAGCAAGCTGAAGTGGCAATAGGCTGGCCATATTAGCCGCAAAACTGACAACCGTTGGGGAAAACGAGTTTCTTGAGTGGAGACCGCGTCTCGGCAAACGTAGTGTAGGACGCCCACTGGCGAGGTGGAGTGACGATTTGCGCAAGATGGCTAGCAGGAGCTGGATGCGAGAAGGCCAATATCGATCTAATGGGCGTGCAATGGGAGAGGCCTATGTCCAGCAGTGGCTGATGATGATGATCTTATTAAATTTTTTGATCACACCTTTAGTAGACTAATGTATTAATCAAGTAGTATGTCAAATTTTAACAAGTGATATTGATAATAGAGTAAACGTGAATTATAGACCCAGTACACTCTTTAATAATATAAACTCTCAAATTATACCACAAACTGTAACTCAATTGTCAAAACGATAAAGTATTCGAGAAAAAAACAAATTCTAAACAATTAAATTCTTTTGAGATCAAACTAATTAATATTAATGATCAATAAATAATTATTGTCGTTAATATAGTTTTAAAGAGATGTAAGTATATGAAATAGGTGTATTGAATGATAGAGGGAGCAGGACCATTGCCGAGCACTTTAGATATTGGAAAATAATAATAATATTGTACCACATTCACACAACGCCATCTAGTCCCAAACTAAGCAGAGCTTGTACTATGGGTACTTGACAACTGATATAAATACAAATATTTTATACAATTTTTTGTAAATTAAATTTGAAACACCCAGACCAAATCAAACATTAAATGTTCATGCACACAAATATTTGAATTGAGCGGACATCGAACCCGCGCTCGACCTTTGGCGTAGTAGTCCATTACTCAAACCTGTATATACTCAAACCGTTATACAAGTATTCTATCAGTCAATCTACCTTTAATAATACAAGCTCTGCTTAGTTTGAAACTAGATGGCGATGTTTGTCAGATGTCCAAAATATTATTATTATTAATTTAGTAGATCTTCTTTTAAAAAAAAGTGATTTATATTTTTACGGTTGTATCTTTTTTCACCTTCATCTTTTTTTACTGTAAATGTGCAGTTCAACAAACACATAAAGCTGATCTATTACTACTATAGTCCATTCGTAATAAGAAAATAGTGACGCAATAGTAACGCATTGATCAAGCCCCGCACCCTGACCAATCTGGGTCGGGCCCAACGATAATTTTTTGGATCGCTGCGTCACTATCTTCTTAACGCGAATGGTTAATAGTGCTTGTATACAACTGAAATATATTTATACAGTGGCATCTATACAGAGCTAAAGACTACACAAGGCCAGCAAAACACGTTCCGTCATTATCGCTTAATTCATTACTGCGCTGATAACGACTTCATTTGTAATGCAATAAATGTGTACACATTCTAACATATAGGACAGAGCTTTATGAAGCAAATTGTTTAATTTTGCCTTTATAACTTAATGTTATTTGCCTTTGTAAAACTGAATTTAGGACCTTTGACAGTATCTGCTCGTAACGGAAACCAATATACTACCCCGTGTTATAAACAGCGGGTCAACCCGGGTCATCGGAACAAAAATTGGAAGCGTTTGATTTAAAGTAATTTTGCATAGCAGTAAAAATTTATTCGTTTTATACATTTTTCAGCGAATGAATAAAATTACGCAGGCTCAATATCCCCTCCCTCCCTAAGTGGGAGGGGGGAGCAACGTACTTATGGGTGGGTTGAGGAGACTCAGCTTACTTGTGAGAGGGGAAACTCAGGCACTTGTGGGAGGGGAAAGTCAGCGCACTTTTACTAACATTGACTATTCAACTATATTAGTATACACTTCAACATAGCCATAATGTTATTGTAATATATATACGACTATAAGCAATATTTATTATTCTGAGAACTCAAAGGACGATAATACACTTGTAGCTCTTGATTTGCAGTGACGGTACTTACTTACCATCAGGCGATCATCGTTTGCCCCTTATGCTATAAAAGCCTTAAAAAAACATAAAAGATTAATATGCTGCGAGTTGAAAGAAGGGAAATGCTATCCATCCTTACTTCCAGACTGTTTTCGAAACTGTCGTCATATTTCCTTTGAACGTAGTTTCAGATTTAATTTTGTTTATACGAAGTATTGTACGGCTCGCTAACTTGGAGCCGGTGCTGTTATTTCAGAACTGTTGAATGTTCTAGAGTCTCAAGGGGCGGGCGTTCGTCCAAAATTAATTACCAACCCATCAAAATGCTTATTCCTTTGCATTTTGTTCGCTGTTTTTCGAGAATAACGGTCAACCGAACAGGTTTGCGAGATTAGATCCACGTGTAATTTAACGTACGTGAAAGCACTTTTAAAAATCTTATATTTATGCATACATCTAAGAAACCCTATGGAGCTCAAATATAGCTACTGTGTCAACTGCTAATTTATATATTATTCTCAAATATTTAGCTTTTATTTTTATAGACCTAAGTTCTCGAACATCTGACTGTCTGCCTAATGATAAGCGGTTGACAGTGACTATTACACTAACAAAACAGCCATGTCCGACTCCAATTCCGACATAAATATGCTGTGGTGTAAAACGGAGCACCATCCAAAACAGTAACTCTCATATTGATTGGTATATCTTTTCTTCTTATTACCTTCTGTGCCTTCTTTGTTATGTGTGGTGGGAATTCGAATAAAATTAATTACTTAAAAGCGCGCCAATCGACTGTCATGTGTGTGGAATATTATAAGTCTGGTAGTGGAATATCGATTCCAATCATCTTGCAATGAAATGCATACTTATGTGGTAAAACATTTAAACTTTAAACTTAAGGGAAAGTTAAAATAAAAAACCATAATTTCGTTTTTTTTTAACAGAGATTTGATTTCGATCTAAGATAAAAACTAAAAACATCAAAGCGGTTGAATATTCAAATTTACTTTTTATTTTACAGATTACTCTTTTATTAGTTACGTAACTAAACTGCGCAATTTTTTTTGTGGGAATAGTACGTTTTGTAGGTTAAAAAGTTAATTACCGAGTTAATCTCCTTATATTTAAGGATACCACTTATCTTTGTAAAAACAGATATTATATACACAGATAACCATTAGCTAAAACACCGACGATGGGACAGTTATAAAAATAATCTCTCTCTCATACCAAACGGGTTGTCTGCTGTAGAAGAGACGGCCAAAGTCTTCTGTAGTTCTTAGGGACTTGTTCTTTAGGATAAACATGTTTAAAACCCATTTATTTTTGACATATATAGTTGAAAATATTAATATTATATTACTGCTGAGGGTAATTCTTGATGAATTGTATTAAGTTTGAAATTACACGTAGGTATGCAGTGTCACGAATGTTGTCATATCTTTTTCCAGGTGAAGATACTAGTGCCGAACTCGACAGCGGGCATGATCATCGGCAAAGGCGGGAACTACATCAAGCAGATCAAGGAACAGAGTAACAGCTACGTACAGATCTCGCAGAAGGCCAAAGAGTTGTCGTTACAGGAGCGCTGCATCACCGTTGTTGGTAAGTTCTACTGATACCAGTATACCATCAGGTTCTTAGTAATGCGATTTTGATAAGACAGTTACAGACGCTCATAATTTTTATCACTTTTAATTAAGTTTATGGCTCGCAACGTGTATAACTTGTTGCCGCTGAATAATCATATAATATGCATATTAATTTCGTTTATCGTTAATTAATTGTAACGGCTGTAATTATTTTGGGTACCTGGTATTATTTTATAACCCAACATAATCGGATTTATACTCAATATATTAATTGCTAATGGCATTTGCGTAAAAAAATAAAACTTACAATGTTTTTCTTCACGAGTATTTCGGGGACGGGGACTCGTGTTCATGGAGATACAGAACACAGATACTATTGGTTGGGTGTTTAAGTTTTGATCATTTTCGGTTACAAGAAGTCTTAAAATATTGACATCAGTAATCAGTAGCTGATTATAACAAAGTGATGAAGTATAAAATATATATATTTATATATTGAGTCTTCCTGCAAACATATTGCATAAGGCGGACTTAATGCCTCAGGCATTTTCTTCCAGTCAAACCTTTGGGTGTTGCAAAGCTGTGTGTGGCAGGTGTAGATTTGGGACAGGTAAAGATGATATAAAGTATATATAGTGATTGCCCTGTATCCGCCTTCAAGAGAAAGGTTATTTATCCTGTGTAGAGAAGACCGAATCCAAATTGATACAGCGATTTGTGACATATAATAAAAATAAATCTTATGTATAATACTTCTACATCCGCATATTAGTGTTTAAATAAAATAAATGAAAGTTATTCCCCAGGTTATTATTCGTTAAGTTACATTGGGTTGGAATAAAAACGTTCAATGAAGAATTTAAACTTAGCAAACAGAACTGTAGCACAAAAGGTTGTAATCTGTCCGTGCCAATTTATAGATAGTGCTGACAAATAGTTTTTATGCCCCGCGCTTTACTTAACTAGATAGTTTCATGATACCAATCTCTAGCTTTCGGGGTGTTTATAAATTGCCTTATTATTCAGGATTGTAAGCTTGGTTAAGCCCTATATATGGACTGAACTGAAACACTTCAACGGTCCCGTATGCTATAGATACTTGAAGAACAAATCTTCAAGTATCTACAGCATACGGGAACGTTGAAGTGTTTTACATAAATTACAAACCAAGAACTCGACTGAAAGGAGTCTACACTGCGTCTGTTAAAAAAATCGTCTTTGTACTTTTAAAAAGCATCCAGCGAGCATTTTTTTCTTTAATTTACCGACAACAAAGGAAATTAAAAAGTGAAAAGTAGTAAATGTTTAGAGTTTTATCTGCAGAATGACATAATATGCTGTTATACTCTTAACAGTAAATATCTTAAAAATCAAGCTCGAAGGACCAAATTCACAATTTTAGTCCTTCGAGCCAGATATATTGTATATTTAGATAACTTTGTTATTTGATTTAATACACGATAAATATGAAATGATAATCTTTCTTATATATAAAATTCTCGTGTCACAATGTTCGTTCCCGTACTCCTCCGAAACGGCTTGACCGATTCTCATGAAATTTTGTGTGCACATCGGGTAGGTCTGAGAATCGGCCAACATCTATTTTTCCTACCCCCCCCCCCCCCTAAATGGTAAGGGTGACCCATCCCTAATTTTTTTTGTTTTGCAAAACAACGTTTGCCGGGTCAGCTAGTCTTATATATAAAATTCTCGTGTCACAATGTTCGTTCCCGTAGTCCTCCGAAACGGCTTGACCGATTCTCATGAAATTTTGTGTGCACATCGGGTAGGTCTGAGAATCGGCCAACATTTATTTTTCATACCCCTAAATGGTAAGGGTGACCCATCCCTAATTTTTTTTTTTGTTTTGCAATACAACGTTTGCCGGGTCAGCTAGTACTCTATATAAATACCAAAATGTTTGTCTTATAAAACCTTTGTTTAGGCATTACCTCAAAATGTGGCTACTTAATGATTTCAGTGCGCTTATCTGTCTTAAATCTGTAATACAAAGTCGTTAACTAACTCAAATCAAGTAAGTTTCGTTACTGCCAACTAAACTTAGTTGGAATGTTATTTATTACTATAATGACACGATTACGGGCACGAGGAGCAGACTACCTTAGCTTTTTTACAAATGCCCTTCATACAAGGCGACTACGAGGCCGTATTAGCTATGTAGTTTTACGATAGCTTCCGTTCTAATATAAAAGCATAATTACTGCACTTCGCCTTAGCTAATAATAAACTAGAATTAGAATTGGTTTATGTATTCTTAAAGATTTCAAATTGTTAAAACGCATTGGAAGAAATAAAACAACATTGTTGTTGTTAATAGCTGTAAGTAGTCACATGGGCAATTAAACAGCCTACATGTTTATATACTTGTTTGCTACTGTATTAGTAGAAGAAAATGGTTATATATGTCATCTATGTGCATACGACTAAGTGGAGTTACACTGACATTAATAAACTAGTTACGAAGTGGGTTACACGGCTTCTTCGTATTATTGACGATATTCTAAAAATAAAAACCATATTGACGTTCTATAAAAAGTATATTAAGCTGTATAAAGTGGTCGATATCGATCCCTTGGGGTCAAAATCGGTTTCCAGGAGTCGACACAAACGAAAACTAATTTTGGAGGACGACGAGGTGTAAAAATCGACCCCTATTTATCAACAGGACATAGGTCTCTCCTTAGAAAGGAGGTTTTGGCCTACTGTACCACGTGTGGCCAGACAGGTTGGTATAGGGCTTGTGTCAAGTTTTCCTTCTCTCTGCAGTGCTGTTGTTCTGCGTAGTTTCCTCCCTTAGTCGGCTCTTACGACACCCACGGTATGAAGAAGGGTGGTGACACTCTGTATTCTTAATCCGTCACCACACGGAGGGACCCCTATTAATTAACATAAGTTCTTATTAGAAACATTCAATATACTGTATTAGTTGTGTTACGTGTATCAGAAATTTCAATATCGTGTATCAAATCGGGATCGATTCCCACCCAGGAAAAATAATTGTCTGATGAGCACGATCATTTGTTCTGCGTCTGGTTGTAATTTATCTAAAACAGCTATGAAATGATGATGAAATAAAATGAAATGATATTTATTTCTGCAAGTAAATCTTTTCAGATATTCTTACAAGTCGGACTTTATGTATTTAGAAGTATGTCTACCAGCAGTCTGATTACCATAGTACAGGCTCTGCCTAGTTTGGAATCAAACAGCTGTGTGTGAGATGTGTGAAGTGATTATTATTACTAGCTATTTACTAGCAAAATTAATATCCAAAAATCCTTTCGTATTGAGTGCTTACAACATAAAAATCATCAGCTGACAAATTGTCAAGGTTGTAGACCCAGAAGTTTAGCCTCTGCGTTGATGAATCAGTAAATCAGAGCAATTAATTTTAGATGGATAGATTACTAGCTTTTGCTTGCGTATCCGGCCGCGTGCATCTCGGTTGTCGCGCTAAAAAGTACCCTATGTCCTTCCCCACAACTCAAACTATGTCCAAAATTCATCTTAATCGTTTCAGCGGTTATTGATTCCCCATTCAAACTTCTACCCCTTTAAGGATGATTTCTGGGAGAAAAAATATCCTATGTCCTTTCTCGGGACTACTATCTCTATACCAAATTTCATAGAAATCGCTTCAGCGGTTTAAGCGTGAAGAGGTAACAGACACCGACTTTCGCATTTATAATATTAGTATGAATTAATACAAAAACGAATAGTGAGCAAAAGTACCTACGTCACTATCCGCTAATAAACATGGCGACTCGTGACAATGACTAATGACATATACCGTTGGCAGCAAGGTTGCACTCATAAAAAATGTATTTACTATTGTAAATGCAACTCGAATGTTCGCTAAAAATATATTAATGTGAAATCTTTTGCGTGTAATATCCTGTTATTGCGATAAACTCATATACATCACGGCACACCTAAATATTCTTAGTCGCAAAGTTTTTAATAACTAAATAAGGGAAGTCCATGTGGTGACGGATTAAGAATACGGAATGTCACTACCCCTATTCATCCCGTGGGTGTCGTAAGAGCCGATTAAGGGAGCAAACTATGCAGGACAACAGCACTGCAAAGTAAAGGAAAACTTAAAACAAACCCTATATCAACCCGTCTGGCCAGCGTGGTAGGCCAAATCCTCCTTTTTCTCCTAGGGAGAGGCCTATGTCCATCAGTGGACTGTTATAGGCGGTCGGAAACGGAATAAACGACAATTCATAACAAGTTCTATGGACTTTGTCACACTGCTGTTGATAATGCATTCAAGAACGATATAAAAATATTCAAAGAAATGAATATGGATTTTGAGTTATTTATAAACTGGAGGCCGTGACCTTCCACCATTCCACCATGTCGCATTCATTAACCCTCTCTGCAAAACCTAACAGTGTTTTAAGTTAACATGTGTACATCTGTGACATCATAGCTTTTAAACTAGTGGACCGATTAAAATTTACATTTTTCGGTTTTGAAACGTGAATTGATCGAGTGCCTTCTTTTCTTCTTGTGTCTTCTTCAGCTTCGGACTTGACTGTTACTTTAAAACACAACTCTACAGTTTTTAGTAATTTTCTTTGGATCTATAATTCTTTTTCTGTTGAAGCTGCTTTAAAATTTTACATAAAGAATGTAAAAATCCAATCAGTTTAACTAAGAATGTAATGAATAATATAATTCACATAACCAAATATTTAGTCATAAGCTGAAATCGAATTTGTGACGTAATATTGGAATGCTCTGTAGACGCCTGCGCGAAATTAAGGAAAAATTTTTTTTTTTCACGTTCTATGCGTCACGGGATAACTAGCCGATTTGAAACATCGAAATTATTTGGTATAAATATAAAAGGATTGCTTATGAAAGAAAATAATAAATATAACACAAATAATAATATAATATTCACATGTGGCGTGGCGACGCATGTGCTGACGAGATGATACGTCAACAGCCAGACTGACCCTCCGCGTTAGATGTTTCATATCAAAAATGTTTCAATCAATGAATAGGTAATCTCCCCACGAAATACCATCAATAACCAGGTGTGAATGAGAAGGTCCTCGAAACTTAAATATCCATTACAAGAAAACGACGTATTGTATTCTGTTGGTTTAACGGAAAATGACCGTAGAAAATGTGTAGAGAATTACCACATAGAACAAACCTCACGTATTTAAATTGCATCCGGTGATATCATCTTGTTAGAATTTCATGACAATGTTCTTTCTGTACACCATAGAAGGGCTATATACCGTGCGTACAAGTTACATAGTTATTGACGTTATGATATTTTTTTTCTCTTGAAAAAAGACAACTACCGCGTGGGGGGACTTTACAAACATACATGAATTTGTGGATCACACTATCCGTGTGGTGACGGATTTAGAATACGGAGTGTCACCACCCCTATTGTAAGAGTGGTGTCGTAAGTGGTGACTAAGGGAGCTAACGCAGGTCAACCAGTGCTGCAAAGAGAAGAAAAACTTGACACAAACCCTATACCAACCCGTCTAGCCAGCGTGGTGTACTAGGCCAAAACCTCCTTTCTAAGGAGAGACCTATGTCCAGCAGTGGACTATTAAAAGCTGTTGATGATTGATGATGATGATGACAAAGTGTCGTCCCATGTGGCGTTTGAACCGACAACACTCGGCGCAGTAGGAAGCGGCGTCGCGACCGCTTAAACCACCACGCCATCCGTGCAGTCTAACAATAATGAAATGTTACTTCATTATAGCGAATTTATTACTATACTAGACTATTAATCTTATTAAATGAAACAAAGACGGGTTAGTCACACTATTTTATAACTGAAGAACGGCTACATTTATGTGTTTCTATTTTTTGGATTTGTCCCTGCCTTAAATAGAATAAATACGAGTATTTAACCACCAACTATGTTCCGTTGCAGGTGAAAAAGAGAGCAACAAGAAGGCTTGCCTGATGATCCTGCAGAAGGTCGTCGATGACCCACAATCCGGATCCTGTCCGAACGTGTCGTACGCTGACGTGGCGGGCCCTGTCGCCAACTACAACCCCACCGGGTCGCCGTACGCCGTGCCCACGACCGAGGTGAAAGAGGTGAAAGAGGTGACCGCTCGAACACGCTCGTTATGACTTGAAAGCTTGCGGACTAAGGTGTACAGAATACAGAATCGAATAAGGCTTCGAGATGAATCTCAATTTACCTTTTTTACTTTTCATCTTTCTGTAGGTTACTCCAAACTTCAACCTGCTTATTTGACCAGGCTCTCCATTAATTATATTAACCTCCGGTAACTCACTCAGTGAATTGCTACGATAAAGCACCTTTGCACCGGTTTTCTGTGAGCTTCTTATCTACCGAAGAATAGCTCTCCACGGTCAAAGAAGTCTCCTTAGAAATTCCGATAAGCATAATGACCTCACTATTATTGCTCTTCACTGAAAACCCTCGTACCATGAAATATCTTAATATTTTTAGTATTTATTCTACCAATAATAATAAATCCCTTTGAAAAGAAGTTGAACCGACTTCAAACAATACTAACAAAGACCAACTAAACGCACTGCTCCAATGAGACAGCAAGGTTTCGTAAGTAAACGAAAATAGCATCGATGAATAAAAATTTTAGTTTTTTGTTGATTTTTCAAAAACTGCTTGACTGATTTCAATAAAATTTAAATATGACCACCTGGGTAGGATACCCTTTAGAACAAAAAATAATTTTCCAAATCGGTTCAGACGTCTTCGAGTATTCGGTGTACATACATAAAAAAAAGACTCCGACGAATTGAGAACCTCCTTTTTGGAAGTTGGTTAAAAAGGATAGTTGTTTAGAAGATTGGTTTTAAGCACAATGAACAAATTGTATATATTATGTTTTAGATTATACAATGATAAGTTATTGGATGTTATTCTGTGCGCCTCGTCCCAAAGAAGTCTCGGCAGTCGTGAGCGTGTTTAAGCGGTTGAGGGCGCCGACACCACACGACACTGCCTCTAACTGCTTACACCGTGTACACACATCTATTAACCACTATATTGTATACGTTTATTTACTTTTTGACAAGTAGTCAGTGATAATATTCGATTAGTAATAACAATAATTTCAAGTCAAACCTTGAATTCTAGCTTTGTGATGTTATTTAATTAACATACAAATAGAAACAATATTCATTTCTATAGACGAAATGCTGGATAGATTTATAAATATGCAATGAAATGTGTTTTTACATCACTGCGTACAATAGAACGTAACATTTTCTTTATTGCGAAATACAAAACTATGTTTTTTCAATACTACATCTGTATGTTTTGTTTAATTCACGTTCTCAAATAATAGTTACGTTCTCAACTGACAAAAGGAAAATAAATGAATGAACAAAGAAATCATAAATACACTTTTTTGTCGTTATGTTTAGAGGAAGTGTGTGTGTGTGTGTCTGACTAGATTTATTTAATTTTAAGTTACTGTAGATTTAAAGTACAATACAATAGATTTGCAGACATAACCGTGTCGTTGGGTGACTCACTAAGCGCGTTATAAACTTAAAATGTCAAGCTAGAATGAAACAAGTTTTAATTATCCATAATTGTACTCTTATATCTTTGTTTTTAATTTAACAAACCAAATCCTGTTCATTAAAATGTTTTCCAAAAATCATGTATTTACCATCTTTTATTTAAGAAGATGAGATACACAAATTTTTGTCATCAATTAAGAATGAGTGAGACTAAATGCTAATGATTGGGACTAAATCAGATAAGTGGGACTAATTTCGAGAAAAAATATAATTATAATGAAAAGAATTACAAAGTATCGTAGATACGATTATTTAAGGGTTTCGCGTGGTAGTACGACACGTTTGGCAGCTCGCAGTTTGGTTTGTAGAACCACGGTCTGGGCGGCGGCGTGGGGTCGGTGGGGTCGGTGCTGGTGAACGGCGCGGCCGTGAGCGCGGGGCTGGGCGCCGGGCTGGGCGCGGGGCTGGGCGCGCTGAACCTGAGCCTGTCGCTGGCGCCGCCCGGCTCGCAGACGCCCGCGCCGCTCACGCAGCACACGCTGGACCACATCAAGGCGGCGCTGCGCCAGGCGGGCTACGGCGAGGCGGCCATCAGCGAGATCGGCGCGGCGCTGGCGCTGCTGGTGAAGCACGGCGTGCTCGGCCTGGCGCTGCCCACCGCGCTGCCGCCCGCGCCGCTCTCCGCCGCCTACTTCCCGCTGCAGGCGCAGGACCCGCCCACGGTCTTCGGGCCCATCGGACAGGTCCCGCTCGGTACGTCCTACGGGCCCGCCTCACTCGCCTCACTCGCCTCACTCACCTCACTCACCTCACTCACCAATTAACGTTACAGTAAACATATTACACATGAAAAATCACTGTAAACATTCAAGCTCAAGTTTTTATTTACCTGCCAAAGTTTTAATTTAAATATCCTTGAGTTATAAAGTTCCATTCTAAACATATTAATTTTATCTCAAATGCATTCTAGTCTTTGTTATGTTACTATTAAACAACAGTCACCAACACTGTTGATGGTAACTGTTGTTTGCAACACTTTACACACATGACACTAAACACAGTAACCACCTTAACCACCTTAATACTATTTTGTTTACCCCCCTGATTATAATTAAAGACTACAACATTTATCCAACAAAACAATACTAACAATAACTTCAATCTCACGCTATAAGATGCTCCAGAACCTTATTATACAATGACATAATGTTATCGAATAACCGTTTATTCCCATTTTGGTTCTTTTACCCACCTGTAGTTTTATTCATTGCATAGAGTATGAATCATAATTTCTATTGTCTATGATCAAATGCACCAAATATATGGTATGAACGTCATATAAACAGATATGTCTGTTTATATGGAATTCATACCAGATCGTGCAAAATTTTAAAAAATATATGATCCTGTGCTCTATGAAATGTAAATGAGAAATCTCACAATTAATAAAACTACAAATAACCTTCGAAGGAATAAACGGTCGAACTAAAAAGTAAAGATGGATAATATCAGACACGATTATAACTGGAAGTGTTTACGCGACGATACAAAAACAATCAAATTGAGACAGAAATCAAGAAATCTTTTCTAGAATATTTCAGCTCTATTTTATTCATATCAAGTTTATCCATCTTTGCACCATAACTTGTCCTTAAACAAAATTATTATTTACAGGAATTTTACTATAAATTATTATATTATACAACTTGTATGTGGCAGTATCTTATTGAATTTAATTCTTACGTGAAAAATCTGTTTGAAAAATATACATTAAATTATTATTTTTAGCTAGTACATTAATTATTTGACATATAATAAGATACCGTCCCATGCCCTATATCTGGTACTATAGAAGTACACTGAAAACTATACTATTTAGAGGTTTTTTTTAATATATATACTCGTATTTACTTGTTTGAATTACTTTTACCTACAGTTTCAGTATGTTTCTATACAATATGTATATTTTATGATGATTTGTGCCCAAATTGCTGTCGTCTTTACACGGAACGGTCGAGTGCTGTTGCACATTAACCAATGACGTTGGATGATATCGGTAAATGGTCACCCCTCACCGTCCAATGCGGTGATCGGTGACCGGCCTCATTCACACGTCGCGCTTCTAAATTCAAAATTTCACCGCTTGACTATCATAACTGTCATTTTCTGGTTTCTTATTGGCTATCGTGATTTCGTAACTGCTTCTGGTCTATGTCTGGAAGAGTTTTGTTTCAAAATTTACTATTATACATTACAGTGAAGTGGTTTTAGATTGTAGAGAAAAAAAAGGTGTCTGTGTTATGTCATAATAACACCTTTTCACTAATTGTGTCTGAATTTTTACACGATACTTAAAGAAACAGATTGAAATTTCAGTCTGATACTTATCTGTTTTCCGGTTTTTATCTCCGGAACCGGGTGAATCCATTCACGGAAATATCGCTGGCAAAAATAGCTAGTATAGTATTCATCGTCAGCCTGTCGCCATCCACTGCTGAACGAAGGCTCCTCCAAGGAGCGCCAGCCTTTGATTTTAATCAAGTAAATTGAAAAAAAAACGTATGTGTTTCGCGAAAAAATCTTAATAAGCTATATGTATTCAGCAACATATACTAACATAAATGTATATAATACATATAGGCATATAAATTAGATACATCAGATGTATTACAGTGCTATTCATACCGAAACAGAGGATAGTTTATCGCCATAAAGAATATGTTCAATCCGTAGTCTTTACCAAAAAAAAATTATTAAATTCTTCTTCATTTTGAAATAAAACTCATCCATACAAAATAAAAAAAAACTAGTAAATAAATAATTTATTGTACGACCGCATGCCTAAATTATTCTTTACGAATACGTTGTATTGCTGATCCAATAACACAATTGGCTTTAAAAGTGTTTTAACTTTTTATTTATTTGTTACTTGTAATATTTTTCAAATTTCCGCATATCGCTTCTCATTCTCATTTTTCGGCAATACATAACTAATATTATGCTATGGACGGATAAAGATTCCTTAGTAAATTATCTGTAGAATCGTTGAAATTGTTCATATTGTTTTTGTATATTAGAGGCTCATCGGCCATGTTGTTTATTTAAATGAATTAATTAAACATCAGTATACAATGGCGGACTTAATGCCTCAGGCATATTCTACCAGTCTACGGTGGTATAGAAATTTGTGATTAGGTGTACTACATAAGTTAGGAAAATTTGTATATTTTCCTATTTTTTTTCTCGATCTTAAGATCCATCTTGGGAAATATTTAATTCTCTGTCATTTATGATTCTTCCTCTTACTTACACCACTCTCTCATCTCATTTTTTGTTTAAACAATCCTTAAATTCAAATCTATTCCTGCCTTATCATATAAAGGGTAAAATTTAGATTTTTATAACCTTTACTGCAAACTAAACAAAATATTTATTTCTTGGCAATACTTTGTTGAACTTTAAATATATTTTAAATTCAAAAGTGATACTCAAAAGAAGAGATTCAAAAGACCCTTATATATTTTTTCAATCAATATGAATTAGTATAAAATTGTATGCAGTAAAGAAAGGCATTTTTAGTAATCGAAAACACAGTTATGAGCAATTTCAATAAGTATCAGTCCGAGCCATAGCATAATTAACGGAGAGAACAACAAAATACAAACCATTCTTTATAATAATTTATTGATATAATTAATGAACGCAAACCTGTAACTATATTGTCATATTTCTAAGAAATTATTCGTCAATCACTGATCTTGAAACTTGCCGAATAGATCAAAAAAGTATCAAAATTATCAGTCGATAAGTTTCATTCTCGGAAGTGTTTTCATCACCAATCATCAACAGCCTATAGCATTCCGCAGCTGGACATAGGCCTCTCTTTAGAAATGAGGTTTTGGCCTACTATACCACGCTGGCCAGACGGGTTGGTATAGGGTTTGTTTCAAGTTTTCCTTCTCTTTGCAGTGCTGTTGTATTGCGTAGTTTGCTCCCTTAGTCGGCTCTTACGACACCCACGGGATGAATAGGGGTGGTGACATTCCGTATTCTTAATCCGTCACCACACGGACTGTGTTTTTTATAAACTTCTTATGTGTTAAGGGGTATTAGTTAAGACAAGGAAATAAAGTATGCAAGGTGTTATCAATGCTTGAATACGGGAATATTGTTACACACATCACCGTTCCTTTACATATTATTTGGCTATAAGACTTCGGTAATAGCTTTGCTTCTATTACGTTAGTGGAACTAAAATGGTAGTAGTCTGTCTGTATATCCCTCGAGAATAAAGACTTGAGTGTATATATGTACCTATCGTATAGCAGCATTATTTCTCTTTATGACTATCAAGTTCAGAGTTGCGTTCATGACAAAACATATTATGTGTACATTGCCAAAGATTGGTTGTTGTTCTCCCCGCGTATCATGTATCTCTTCTAAGTCCCGTACCACAGCGCTGCCGGTAGTGGCAACTCGTTGGTCGATCAGTCACATTGTACACGCGCACTCAATAGCTAGACTAGTTGCTGTACACGATTCTCTTGCATGAGCGTAGATTATATACAGTAGACTCATCGGTAGCTTGTAATATACCTTTGAGAATTTACGCGCGAATCGAAGTCATTACAGAAGGGGTTCCATGCAATTGTATAATGTTAGGAGAAGGGGGCGCGTTATTGTAAATATTAGAAGTAGGTTGAGTGTTGGGAGTAGTTCATTGGAGAATACTTTTATTGAAAGGTATACATATTTAGTAATCCATCCTAATTTTATACAAACAAACTACACAGAACAAAGTGTAGCGAGAGTATCCATGACAATTTTGAAATAAAATTTTAAAAGAATAGATTTTGCTACTTTAATGACATGTGTGACAAGGGCAAGGGTCGGTTAGTGGGCGCGCGGGTAGGCAGGGGTGGAAGTGTGTCGTGTCGCGTGTATGGTGCGACGGCGGCGCTGTGCGGGCTGTCGCTAACACGTAACTCTCTCCGCAACAGCGCGAAACGTTCTAATGTAAGTGTCCGCGCTCGCGCCCGGCCACTCCGAGCACGCGGGGCGGAGGGTCGCGGGGGCCGCGGGGCGGGGCGGCAGGCGGCGGCGTATAGCGTGACGCGTCCGCAGGCGGCGGCGGCTCGTTAGAGCGTTTCGCGGAGGTTGCATTCGAGGCGCTTCGCCCCCCAGCCGTGGCGCCCATCAGCCTCGGGGCCGGTGTGGGCGGCGTGGCCGGCTTCCCTTCGGCGTCGCTGCTCCCGCTCTCCAAGAGCCCGACGCCTGCTGATGTCGGTGCTAAGGACTCGAAGAACGTCGAGATCGCGGAGGTTATCGTCGGGGCTATACTCGGTGAGTTGATGATGCAGGAATGTTGTCATAGGCTTTCTAAAATGTCAACATCATTGCACTGAATGGCTGGTTTTATAGATGATAAAAATCTTTTAATGTATTTATTCAATTAATTTTTTCTCCCATATTTATATATTTGTATGTGTTATTTATTTCAGTTATTTATTATATTTCATATTTTACATCTATTCGCCCATCTTTTCAAGGTTTACCAATCAGTTTTAATATTACCTATGTATTGCTGTTAGCATATTCATCCACTCCATAGAGTAGCCAATAAAAGTTATCCACGGTAGATACTATCTACCGTGGATAACTTTTATTGGCTACTCATGTAATCATAGTTTACTACCTAGTTAAGAATTGCAGCTGTTGTAATCCCTAAAAAAATAAAAATAAAAAAATTATTTGAATATACGCTAGCCTAAAGGTGCATCCATCCTATATGTACTCATACGTTACGAAACCACTACCATCGCGTTTTAATCATATCAATCATAACCTTTTAATTTATACTCTCGATTGTCGGCACTGGGTGGAACATGTTACAATACATTAGGAAATCAAACTCACTTGTACTTATATTCCACCATGTAATCAAAGGTAATGCTATAAGGCGACGCCAGTCGGGTCAAATTAAATAAATAGTGAAATTTAAGAACAAGTGAATTTGTATTTATAATGTTTGTAAAAGTACTTCAAGGTAGGCTTTAAAATATTTCAGGCCCAGGAGGCCGCAGCCTCGTCGAGATCCAGCAAATGTCGGGTGCGAACATCCAAATCTCCAAGAAAGGGACATTCGCGCCAGGCACTCGCAACCGCATCGTGACCATCACCGGCACGGTCACCGCCATCAGCAACGCTCAATACCTTATCGAGCAGAAGATCCAGGAAGAGGAGCTCAAGCGTACTCGTCACAACGCCATCTCCGGCCTCATGCAGTAACAGTGACGCCCCACACCCGCCCCGCCACCTTGCCCCACGGTGGGTGCCAATTGCGTACTCATTGTATTTCAGTGTGTTTGAAGGAGCTAAGCTACGTAGCCCCACGGTTGGCGCCACAGAGGAAAATGGTGGCTGCCAAAATATGTTTCAATTATATGTCAGTGTTAAAGGACAGTAAGTGGAAAAGTGTGCATTGTAAGGATTACTATCTTTATAGTTCTTGTTAAGACGATAGGCCCCGCGCTGGGCGCCAAAATGTTTTTTGAGACGTTTGTTGGGCTGCGGTGGATTTCGATATGAAAATTTTTAATCGTCTACGTAGCTTTTAGGTGAGTGTTATAATCTTAAGACAGTCTGTTGTACGAGCTACGTAGTCCCAAGATACGTAGCTCGGTGAGAATATAAAAAGACAGTTTTACAGTGAGCTACGCGGGCCCCCATTGGGAGTGCACGCCGATACATGCCACTCGCGGGCAGTTTCCACTGAGCGGCGCGCTCGTACACTTCTGTACTTTATCTTGTATTTTGTTCTAGCGTAGTATCTAGTTCTAGTCAAACACTGTTGGATCACAGAGCGCCGCTCGGTCACACGTTCTCCGTGGCGCGAGTTACCTGACTCTAGTTAAGAACTTTTGTTTTATTTTATCTGACGGAGGATATAATTTATGCAGCTCTCGATATGCGGCGCGTGCCCATCTTGAAACTCAAGTACATCATTATAAACTAATAACTTCACACGAGTCTAAAGAGAGAACAATGGAAGAAAATGATTTTGATTGTGAAGTTGCCAGTTTATATATAATAATAAAATCAAAGGATATATTGTCGTTCTATTCGGGACCGTGCAATCGGCACGTCGGCGCATATCGACACATAGTTACCTATTTACAATAATACAAGTTATGTATAATGAGTTTATGCATGTAATATAAATAGCGTTGAATGTGGTGGGGAGTAACCCCCCTTTTTACTCTACTATTATTTGAATACTTTCTCCCAAAGCATTGAAGTTTTAAAAGACAGTTGTCGCAATGACGCTAGCGAAGTTATCCGGGCCGACTCCCCGCCCTTTCTATATTTTACGTTTCTTATCGTGATGACAAGTAATTATTTTATTCTGCCTAGCAGACGGTTATTGTTGTTTAAGATATAATAATTAAAATATTGTGATATGTCCTATCACGGCAATTCCTATTCCATACACATATTATTTTTGTATATTGTTCACCACAGCATACATTTTTTTTTATTTACAAAGTTGATTTCATTGTAAATGTTACCATTGATAAGTTATTTTTTCTTTAGTTGATTAGGTTTAGTGATGTGATTAATTGAGATAACAAAATCTTTTTGACGATAATTTCTTAAGTATAACATGTCGTCGATAAACCGTACATGCAACTCTGCAGTAATGTTAGGAACCGGAATCCGAAGTTGCTTTTTCTGACATGTGATGTTGACAAGCGTCGGTTTATTCACTATACTTAATATTTATGTCAAACTAGCCATCCAAGCATTATGATTTTAGTGATTTTTAAACCACCCCCTTTCACTTTTCAGCAATAGGAAGCAAAATTCTAATCAACACTTAATGAAGAATAAATCATGATAAAATACCCAGGTCCAAGATTTGAAATTGTTGAGGTAATGCCTATTGTTTATGGAAGAGTTGGGTGCCACATAGTTTAATTCAGAATCTACTGAATGTTATAAAAAGGAGTTGCTGACGTTACTTTCCCTTTTTCTGTGCTTTGATGTTTACGTAATACTTATTTTTGTTATTAGGGCTTAAACCTCTTAACCTTTTTCTCAAATATGTTTGCTTTTTCTTCCCTTCTCCTTTATCACTTTTTAGTCAATCCATCTTTTCTTTGGTCGTCCTCTTAGTCTCATATACGTCAACTGTTTTGAATGACGTTTGACATAAATATTATGTTAGGTGAATAGTCGACGTGCATATAAATACAACACCAGTTTTTAACTGCACGCCGTTTATATTTCATGTTTCAAGTCTCACCCAACACGATCTTTGAATCTGTCTACGATCAGACAACTTCATTCCTGAGTTCTCTCAGTAAAGATCTTTATTTTTTTTATACATTTATAACAAGATAAAAATATCTAATCGTTTTAAATATTATTTTTGTTGATGTTAATTTCTTGTCGGTCTAAATTTGTCTTACGATATAAGTACAATTTATAATAATAATAATTGCATGTCCAGATTAGTAGATCAAAAAAAATATTTTAAACATTTTAAAAGCAGATTTCTATATATCGAGATGACAATATAAATAATATATTCTTATTTACAGTTATATGATTGAATATTTTATTTTTTGCGCCGTCGTTTAATCAAGACGTTCTGTAAGTGTCAGTTAGTGGCCGCACGTAGGCGAGTTTTAGTCGCACTTCAGTCGCTTGAGACTTCTCTAGTAGTGGTTAATAGCTGTCTAAAAGTCGTTGACGTGCGTAAATAGTTACATAATATAAACTGTGATTGTTTTCGTCGACATTGTCAAGGTACTACGTGTCAGTCTCCGCTTAGTGTTAGAACCCACCGGCACTCGCCGCGGGGTAGTTTTAAGTTGTGTTCGTTTACCTCAGAAGTGCCATCGTTCTAGATACTGGATTAGTGAGGCGAGCCTCTGACGTCGACAGTGTTCATCAAAGTAATAATGTCTTTGTTACAATCGATTCTTATAACGAGTCGATAGACGTTTAAAATAATGAAACGTGACACTAAACCACATTTAAAAGCCAATAGGGTTTTTCCGTACATCTCCGTAAGACGTAAGCGTTCTTCGTAGCAAATTCTAAAGGGTGATAACTTTGTAATGCGATGAATCCTATCACATGTGAACGGTATGAAGTACAAAAAGCAAACGTAATCATAATAAAATATATATAATAATTTGAGATCGGCTTAAAAATGAAAGTAATGTACGATAGCATGTAAGAAATAGGAATTGAGAGACAAATTTTCTCAGCTAATTCATTCATAATTGCGCGGTTATAAATAAAATAATATTTTTAACTAATTAATTATTAGGGAAGTGAGCACACTTATTATGCCATAACCTCGTACTTCCGTAAAAGTGAAATTGAATAGTGATTATAATGTTGTAAGTTTCTCGTAGTAGAGCGGCCATTGCGGCGACGCACCGCACGCGGTCAGTCGCCCGCCGCGCGCCGCCCGCAGCGGACGCGAACTGTCCAACGACATCGCGATGATATACGTTGTGGGTATTGTTAACTGATCTATTACATATATACGTGTGTTATGTAGGTAACATTCGCAGTGTAGTGTGGCATTACAGTAGCTAGTTAATGTATATTCAATCTTTAAACGTGTATAAGTAACGCTGTTGAATAATGTTTCCGGTGTTTTCTTCGAATTTTTCTCATCTAAACTATTTATATTTGGGGGTAGGTACAGATATCGTCTTGTGTCAATTAATAAATGTCTGTTCGCACGGTCGCGATTAGTACAACTGTAATTAAAGGTGTAGTTGGGTTTAAATCATGTATTAGTGATATTGGGAAGAGACTTGTATCGATAATTACGATGAATTGATTGAAAGATTGTGGTATCTGATTTTGATTAGTAGTGTGGCTTTGTCGTTGTGACGATCGTGACCGTGCACACTTGGGTCGTATCGGCCAAGCCTGAACGCGTATCGCCTGTCTCGTCGATTTAACAAGCTCAATTTTATCGGAACTAAATCTTGATTAGTCGGTACGTATAAGTCAAACGCGTCAATTAAAAGAATAATTTCCAAAAAAGTGTATAATTTCATGATATCGTTCAGTTCGGGCGAGCTCTGGGGGGTAGATATAGTTTCAGTCCCGTTTCTTCACTCACTCACTCTCTCTCTTACCTACGTTACGACTTGCCTCTATCCTTATTCGAGGCGGTGTCCGTCAAGTGTCGAGTGTTAATGTTTTGCTAGAATGTATTTCTAGCGAAGAGAGAGGACTGGTCGATCGAGTGTGGAAGTTTTTATTCATTAAATCCAATGTCTTTATTCGGAGTTGTTCTACGGATACTTAATTAAACACTACGCAAGTCTTCCTCGTTTGGGTGTCATGTGTTGAAAACCTCGCTAACTGGTCAAGAAGCGGAGCGACGCAACGCGGACACCGCGCCGATCTAATAATAGTTATGGAATGAATTCTAGTTAGTTATAATTATCATATTTAAAAAAAAAACAATATAATGGGTACGTATAGATAATTTTTAATTAAAATTACTGGAAAATGTTAATGTTGTTATACTGAAGTTGTTACAATATTTGAGAGTATATTAACGTGAATACAAAATAATAATTTTAGTGCGGTAATCATTATTTGAGTAAAGTTTATCACGTGGAAAGATAATAAATAGTGAAATGTCGTCCCGAATCCCGTAGTCGTGTTGTGTAAACGCAGAGTCCTAGACGCGGCCGTAGAGCGAAGACAAGGTTATACTGATTCTGTGATACTGAGTACTGCGGCACCACGCTCGTGCCCCGCCCCACACACTCACACACACACACACACACACTGACACACACGCACTCGCACGTAGCTAGCACCACTGAAGACACGCACCCCTCGGACGGAGACACCGCTGTCTGTCATAGGTTGTGTCAAATTACTTAGAGCTCATTTCAGTAGCGGTAGATAACGACCGTGGATATACTAGTATCGTGCGCGGCGTTCCCCGCACCGCTCGCGACACTCCGCACTTTATCGATCATATAATAATGCTGTTACGATTAAGGAATTTGAATGTTGTAGGCTAAGGTAGCTAGATGTCATTCTTCACGGTACGGATACAACGGTGAGGTTATGTTGGTTCGTCGAGCCGGCCCCGCGCCGCGCACCTCATCCTCCAATTTAATTTTAATAGCTAAATGTTGTTAAATTTGTTGATAGAGTGGTTTATTGTAATTAGGTAGTTTAGTGGGTATACACGCGAAGGTGGCAGCCGTTGGGTGCGCTAGGCTAGAGTAAGG